TTGTTTATCTTGTATTATATCTGTTCCTCTAGTAAACCCTGATACAGTGAGGAACAGGATAACTCAGCCCAATAAGAAATCTGAATTAAGATACTTCAGTATCACAGAAGAGTATGGTCTGTTTGCCTGCTACACCCATAATCACCCCTGGCTACGGGCCTGGCCACGCAGGCCACCTCAGGCACCATCAGTCACTCTCCAGGCATTCTTTCCCGGCCACCGTGGTGATGAATGACCACATCCCTCTCTGGCAATGAGTACACCCCAACGCCAAGGGTCTTCTCCCATGTTCCGACGGGCCTGGTAAGGATTTGGTGGCACTGGAAGGCTTCCTTTGCCCAGTGCCCTGGTCGCTTGTATCTGATGCACTCTGACTTGCTTCCATTACTCTTTGGATTACCTCAGTTTCCCTTAGCACTGCAGGCGTTATCCATCAGGATGAGCGTGGCTTTGGCCTACCTCTCTTAGTCAACTCTAGTTGGTCAGGGTTAACAAAAGCAAATCAGCCACACTGACCAACTGGCTTATCCCAGCTTATGGGGCCTGTTGGAGTTTCTGGAGCTTTTTCCTAATATCCAGAGCTGACTAGCTAATAAAATACTGTCCTAGGATACTCTGACCTTCCCTCGACTATGGGTTTAACCTGGTGTATTCATGGGATGCCTCTTCAAGCTGGTGTTGGAAAGCAGCTGGATTTTCATTAGAGCCCTGACAGTCCTGAGCTTATCAGAGTTTACTGGTTTGGGCTTCCCCTGGCGCATGCCCACTAAGCTGGTCCAGAGGTATAACCTCTGTTTGTTTCTCCACCCTGGAGGGAATGGAGGCAACCAGGGAGGGAGAAGATAGGCTTTATTAAAAATTAATAGGGAAATTTACTAAAGACAGTTTCTGGCTCTACACATAGACACTATAATTAGAGCAATTAAACAAAGGAGAGAGAGGGAGAGGGAGAGGCCACTGAGAGAGGCAGAAGGTAACACAGTTACCGTTGGAATTTATCAGGAAGAGCTAACAAAATGTGAAGAAGCCAGAAACATACCAGACCTGAAAACCAGCCCCCCTCACCCACCTGATAAAATGCAAAGGAGACAAGGAAGGGGCAGCCACCTCAGGACTCTTATTTGGTATGTAAGACACGCATGCACACATGCACGCCTACACATAGGCACATGTATTTATGTTCTCACTTTACCATCACTATGCTGTTACACACATGTATACATATGGCCTTTACTTACTCAGTAAGTCTGTCTTCCTATAAAGCCCCCCACTTATCCATCCCTAAAGGACAGGAAGAAATCAAATGGCCAAAAGAAATGTAGGCAGATGTGCCCAGGTTAGGATCAAAGACATTTAAGAGGGTCAATGAGATGGTGACGACTTCAAGGGCCCACATGGGAGATGAGAAAATTACTAGCCCTAAATAAAAGAAGCCAGGTATAAGAGGTATTCAACTCTGATGCCCCCTACCTTCCCAAGATAGCTGTCTATTTTCTTTCTTTTCCATGTTTTTTTCCAAATAAACTGACTTCTTTTATTTTAAACTCTTGCTCTTTAATTCATTACTGAAGCTGAGACCACAATATTAAGTGAAGTAAATCAGACACACATTTAAATATCACGATTTCTCCTATATGAGAAATCCAAAGTATAAGTAATTAAAAAGCAAAATAAAAGATGGATAATAGTAAACAGGGAGACAGATCTTTTGCAAATGGTAAGGGTAACAAGAGGTG